AAGCTGGGACAGCTCTGCTTTTTGACCTCTAGGCACCGTCCCCATCACGGTTTTCGGCCTTTTCGTCTCCGCACCTTGGCTCGCGCTTTGAAGTCGGTCGGGCGGTTGGTGGGCCGTGCATGGGGAGCTGAGGCCTGGCTCCAGTTCAAGAAGGGCCCAACCCTGGGCATCTGAGAGCACTGAAGGCTCCTCACATGCGCCTTCAGAATCATTTTCCTTGGCCAGTGGGTCATGTACCCTGCGGAAGCGAGAGATAAACCTGTCATCCTTGCCAAAGCTGTGAAAGATGTACTACCTTGTTGTGTAGGCTTGGACTACAACCATGTGTGGTGTCAAGGGTTGTTTCTAAACTGCAGGTATGTTGCCACACTTCTGGCATCAAATCTTGTCGGGATGTGTTGCATGGCTGGTCGTGTAGAACGCTCTCTGCAGCTGCGACGCTCCACCGAGCTCCGTACACCCGTTACCACCAGCAAGAAGCGTTTGCTGGGCTGAACACCCGACACTCTCGCACAGATACGTCAGCACATTCCCACACACATGCACACGCATACTAACTAACACACCTACATACCCTAAGTACATGCACGCGCACTTGCGCAGATTCACTCTTAGATACGTGCGTTCAGGCAGACAGCGGACGTACTGACGCAGGGACAGAAATGTCATACGACACGCACTGCAGAAGCAATCCATCAACACACACCTCTGAGAGCAATCCAGCCTGGTGCAATCCGGATGCCTTCCCAGAGATGGCCAGCTGGAAATGGCGGGCTCCAGCTTCGCGGATGGCGCTTTTGTTCCGTGCCGGCCTTGTGAGCTCTGGTGCCTGTGGAGAACTCGAAGACCTGTGCTTCGATCGCCAGGTCCATCGCCGTTGCGCCAGCCGTGGCCTCTGCCTCTTCCGTGGGAAGCTGAGTCGACCATGGCCGTGGGCTTTCCCGCGAAAAAAACACGGACACACAGCGTCTTCCCTTTTTGGACGGCTCAGGTTGCGAAAAGCTCGCGCCTCGCGAGCTTTATTTCACCGGGAGAGACGACGGGATGTGATCCGCTCCAGGCTGCTGCATCCGCAACATGGCAGCGACAGGAGGCATTGAGCCCAGCGCTATGCCGCTATGCCTGCAAGCGATGCAAGCTGACCGTGGCCCTAACCCAGATCTTGTTCAGGTGCAATCGGTTTTACACCAAGTCGCAGAGACGGGCAGTCTAGAGGCATGGCTGTCGCATCGACGTGTTTTGTTTACTGCTTGCTCGTGGGGGTTCTCACTGGTCTCACGTCTCACAGGAGGAGCTCCTCTGGCGGCTGATACCTGATGGTGCTGTCAGGAAGAAGGGCCTTCTGCAGGAGCGCGGCCCCCCTCCCCCGCCTTTTTCGCCCCCTTTTGTCCGAGCCCGGAGGCCGAGCCGGAGACGGAGAAGGCTTCGGAGAAGGCTTCGGAGAAGCTGCCGGAAGAGTCGCTCGAAGAGGCGAAGAGCCAGTCCCCCTTCGCCACGGCACAGTGGGGGGTTTAGAGCAGCCACGCGCTTTTGAGGCGGAGGCTGAGGCGGCGGAGGCAGGGCCGGCGCTGAGCACTGCGCTGAGCACTGCGCTGAGCACTGCAGAGGAGGCCAAGGCCAAGGACCCAGACAAGCGGCACAAGCGATTGCGAAGTGTCGCAGTTGTTGGGAGGCGCCGGCAGTTCACTCAGCCGAGACCCTCCTCCTGGCCACGGTTGGGGGGGTGGCGGCTTGAATTGCTTGGGCCCAGCGGGGTGTGCCGTGCCAGGCCGAGCTGTGCCGCGGCTTCAACTTGCGAGACCTTCCAGCTCTCGCGAAGCTTGGTGACCGGCTGACGGCTCTCCAGGCGCAAAAAAGAGCCTATCAAATCCGGCTTTAGGCGCCCCTGGGCCCCGTCCCCGATCCTCTCCGCAGAGGTGCCCGGAAGCGAGCTGCTCCGAGCTGGCGTGGCTTTCTCGGATCTGGGCGTGCTACACCCGCCCATCTTTCAGAGCATGGCCAAGGCCATCCAAGGGGCACAGTGTCTTTTTGGATTATTTTTTTTCGAGGCGAAGTTGCTGCATGCCAATGAGGCGTTGCTCGGCGCATGGCCGGATCCCTTCTCGGCCTCGGATGCGGCGCAGCTGGCCCGAGTGGCTTGGCTCCACGGAGAAGGGTCCGCAGGGTCCGGTTCGGACGTTTTTGGCGGTGGTTTCTGAGCTGCTCTGAGGTCTTCGCTGTGCAGAGGTTCCGCCAGGAGGAGATCTTCGCTCGAATCGCCGTCTGCCTCCGTGGAGGCTTGGCTTCCGCCGCCCGGAGCTCCCAAAGAACGAACGAACTCTGCGCCCTTTCGCGGCAGGTGTGGAAACCTTGCCGCCAGCTTGCAGAGAAGCGGAGAGGGAGCTGTTGCTTATGAGCTTGATGAAGTTGCGGCTGGTGTGTTGCTAGTGCTGCTAGTGACAATGGAGTAGTGGGATGGTGAAGGAGATGGGGCATGATGGGGCCTAATACATCGGATCCTGAAGGCGCATTCGTACACTCGTACACTGTGGGGCACATCGTCTAGAACGCCATCAGGCATTCCTACTGGACCTCAAGTGCGCTTAACCCCCCAACACTCCTCGCTGTGCTCTGCATAAGTGCTTGAGCCATGTTCAAGCGGCCATTGGTTATCAGTTATCATCGGTTCACGGATACATGCCACGCTCAAGTGGACATTGGTTCACAGAAGCAAGTGCGTGTTGACCTTGCGCAGGGGCCATGTGCTCAAACTACACGCATGCTCACAAACAGGAGCCATGAGAGAAAGCGTTGCAAGAGGCGCCCTTTTCGACTGAGTTGGGCTTGGCCTTGAGGTCACCGGAGGAAGCTCTCAGCCTGCTGCACTCCCATGCATTTCTGCGCTTTTGGCCCTCCGAACACAGCGAGATGAGCGAGGAGAAGATGGCATCTCTCCATCCCGCTGCTCATATCCTGACCCTGAGGAGCTCTGGGGCGCCCTCGAGCTGCAAGCCCTGTCAGCCGATTCCCCGCGCCCGGCTCCTCGTCTGCAGCGCGCATCCGAAGCATGGCCGTGCCGAGCCATGGCCGTGCCCGCCGTGCCCCAGCCCAGGAGCTTTTCTTGCAGCTGTGCCAGATCCTCTTCCTCGCTCAACGAGACAAACCCGACCTGCCAAAGGCGCGAGCGAATGCGTCCGCGCGGGGCATGTGAGCTATGTGCGCCTGAACCAAAGACCAAAGATCGAAGCTTTGCGTGCAGGTCCTTTCACTGCTGGAAAGAGCTTCTGCCCAACTCCACCAGCGCTCCCCATGGAGACCTTCGCTCCGGCGGCGAGTGCTACTCCTCCGGAGTGCCCTGAGGTACTTACACCGCGAGGCCGATAGTTGAACGGTCTTTGAGATGAGGATGGATGAGGTGGTGTGCCCGACCGGCTGTAGGCCTACACCCAGCTGCCCAAAGCCGTGCAGCTGATGTTCCGAAAAGCGCATCGCATGGAACCTGAAGCGCCATCCAAGCATGTGGTTCTCTTTGTCCGGAAGCTCAGCGAAGCCCTGCGCCCAGAAGTGGAAGAGACCGGGCGGGGTGTGGCACCTCACATCACCGAAAGCTGAACGCACCGAGGCTTTGACAAAGTTGAAGATTGGCCACGTGGCCCAGGCAGTTCGCGGTCCTTTCACCTTCGACATCGTGGAGCGCGATCGCAAGATCATCTACGAGTGCAATCATTTCGATCGGTTCTACATGGCTTCGACGGAAAAGATTGCAGCCAGGTGCTTGCAGGAGCTGTGTCCCGGGGTTTCGTGCCGCATCAAGGTTTTGGTTTCGAAGCTCGCAGGAGCGCATTGCGAAAGCCATGGGCTACCGAGTGATTCAGGTGCCGCACTGGCACTGGCTGCTTGACTGCTTGACTGAACTGGCGGTGCTCCCTGCTCCGCCCTTCGCAGTCTGAGCCCCGCCCTTGCCAAGGAACAAGATCAAGCACCGACGTCAGCGGATCGAGTACATCCGCATGTCCAGGCAGGCGGAAATTCACAGAGGGCGGCTGCGCGTCCGAACCCTATACTCTGCCCTAAACCCCCTTTCTCTTGAAGACGAGGTACTACGCTCTGAAGGACCTCCGGGAACTGGCTCCCCGCGATGCCCCCGTGCGTGACCTGGCCGACGCTCGGCCGGCCATCTATTGGGTATACTTCTCTAACTTCGGGTCCCCTAAAAAGGGGCCTTTGATAAGGGTGCTGTACTATCTTGGGGAGCCTAACAAGGGACCCTGTTTTCGAGAACTACCCTATTATCAGTCCGGATTTTTGGGAAAACAGGGTTCGGGGTGATCTCCGCGATGGCGATTCATGCACATGTCCCAAAGGAGAACGAGCTGGACTACTTGGGTGAGTACTTCTTTAAGAAGGACAGGCCATCGTCACCTTGGTCCTGGTTTCAGCCACGTTACGATGCCAGCTGCATGGATGCATTCGCTCTGCACTCCGCGTTTGCCTCGTCCTGCGGTTTGCGGAGAGCTTTCTGCGCCACAGAGCGTCCGAGGCAAGCGCCTACCGGCCGCGTCTGGAACGCTGTAGCACCAAAAAGGCCAAAAGGTGAGCGATGGCCGCGGCCACTGCTGCACTGTCCATTGGTCCATGGACCCGTCGCTACCAGGGAACAGCTGAACATGTGAGCGAAAGGATCAAGCGTGAGCCGTGCACAGGTAAGCTTGCAAGCCCTCATTGGATGGTCCTCGTAGAAGTCCCAGCAGTTGAAAAGTTTATGCTTCGCAATGTGCCTGGGCTTGATTTTCAGCAAACGCAACTGGAACCACACAAGGTGGAACTTACGTTTGGTAAGAAGGCCTGAACGGTGTACAGTATGGGACGCTGCATTCCACCACATGGTGGCGGTCACCCAGGCATGCTCAGATTTTTTGACATTCGGCGGTGTTGGTGAGCACATGCGAGAGGTCTCGTCGATCAACACCTTCTTCGAGCTCTCAGCGGGCTCCCTTCGTATCTTCCAAAGGCGCGATGCAAGCGATGCAAGCATGATCCTCTGGAGCATTTCGGCAAGCAGCTGTTGCACAGGGCCGTGCAGCCGCCCCCCCAGCCCTTTGCTGCTTGTTTGTGACCTTTCTGCTAGCAGCTGCACTTGTGTTTCCAGTCCAGCACTTGTTGCTGGTGATTTCCCACAAGGTTTTAACAGCCTGGCTGCAACCGGTATAGTGGCAGTTGGTTTATCCAGGGAGGGAAAAGGAAGCGCATGCGGCGTGCGTGAGCAGCAGTGCATCTCCGTACACCATCAGATGCTCGCCGCTACAGGCAGCCCTTCCCCTCCACGCAAAGGTGCATCGCCAAACTGGGCAGGGATGCTGCGGTGATCTTCCGCCCAGAGGAGCTGGTGATCCATGGCCATTCCGGCATGTTGGCAGGTGATTGCCTTGGTGCTTGCGGCTCTTGCGGCAAAGGTGCCGATGATGGCCACTCCGCCGCATCGCAATTCGCCTTTCGGCGCAGCTTCTTCCGATGCACACCGAGTTCGGAGGCTCGGTTATCCCTCTCTATCCCCCTCTTCGTAACTTCTTGGGGCCGTCATCTGCGCAGGCCTCTGGGATCCGTAAGGCCCGGCCCGGCCCATCCGTTTCAGCTCTCTGCTGTTTTTGGTTGGCTTCTCGCAGGAGAGGCGGGTGGTGGTGCAGGCACGTGGTCTAGCAGTGGCCTTGCGTGGCTCGCAGCAGCGGACGGCCAGATGCTGAGAGGTCGCAGCTAATGTTGGGATGGGGTAGTCTCGTTGTCCTGTCGCCATTCTTCCTGGGTTCATGCTGGCTCTGCATCGTCCCTGTGTTGACTGCTATCTGGCATGAAACGCGGGCGATACTTCTCTGTTGTGCTTTTTATCCAGATGTTGTTGTGACATTGGAGAGCTGCATCGTCCGCGAGCGCAGTTCGACACTTGCAAGATCTTCAAAGAATCCGAAGATCGCCAGACGGAAGCTCCATCAACAGCTTTTGCTTCCCATTCATGTACAGTGACATACAGTGACTTTTGCAACTAGGTTATTCTAGTGTCCCTTTTTGCAGACTGGTAGTGCGAACATCATGCTGTCTTCAAGCTTTGCTCCCTCAAGCATGGAACTACTCGTCAGACCATGACCAGGACTCAGCCTAGGCCTAGTTGGTGCCTTCGCCGGCAGAGCTTGCGGCAAGTTTAACCCCCCCCCCTCCCGGCCTTGGAGCAATCCGAAAATCTGCAAGCAGTTGAGAGAAGCCCCCATATGTCGAGGCGGAGGGCCTTCTTATCGGCCTGGTGGAGAATCGCTTGGTCCTGGAGTTCATGCCTCGCCACGGCGGGAAGGCAGGGTGGGAGGACTCCGAAGACCAGCCATGGAAGCCTTGGTTGGCGCGCTTGTTTTTGCTGAGGTTCGGCACAAAGTCCCTCTGCTCGACACGTCGGCCCAGGGCTCGGGAAAGGGAATCGGAGAGGGTCTGCCTTTTCTTGAATGCTCCGGCCGCGAAACTTGGCAGCCCTTCCTGCCGGGTGAGCCTCCTGCCGGCCCCCACGCCGCTGCCCGCCTCCCAGCCTCGGGAGCTCTACTTGCGGAGAGCAAAAGGCTTTTGTAGCGGCCCCAGGCCTTGGCCCCCAGCCTCTTGGCGCGAGTCCTGGACCACTGCTCGGGGCCTCGGACTTCCTCGGAGATCCTCGGAGATCCTCTGCGACCACACCTGCAGCAGGCGTGCCTGGGCGCAGCAGCTGCGAGGAGGTCATCGCAGGACTCTCGGGGAAAAAGAGAGAAGCCCTATGGGCCCTAGCCAGGCGACGTCTAGCAGAGAGGCTTCTAGCAGCCGTAGTCAGGTTTGTGCAGCTCCTCCGCAAGGCCTTCGCGAAGAGCTCAGATCTTGAGGTTGCTTTTTTTGTTTAGAAAGAGCAAGTTTTAGCTGCGGGCTATCTGAATCTCCTGGTCTCCCGTTTACAGCTTCCTTTCGGCTGCATACTGCTTACAGATGAAAGCGCACAGGAGAAAGCAGTAGATCTCGAGAGAAACTACGCGATGAAGAGTCACCATTGCAGTAGATTGGATTGGATTGGCAACTTCCATTGTACTCGCAGCCGCGATGCGAGATGACATGCGTCTTAGTGATGATTGTGCACTCGCGGCTTTGAGCCCCTCCGGTGGTTGTTGCCTGCGGGCCGGATCTTCCCCATGCACGACAGCCTTGGCCTCCTAGCCTGATCAGAAAAACCCCTACAATGTCGAGCCTACGTCTTGTTGCCATGCGGCAGCTGCTGCTACTGGTGCTGCAAAGCGCGCTGGGCAGCGAGCTCCCAGCCCTGAAGATGTCTACATTCGATGCAGAAATCATGGATATCCTTTGGCTTGGGCCGGACCGCAAGAAGGTCTTGCTGAACACCAAACAAGGCCATGATGTTTTCAGAAAGCATCAAACTCGGTCAAGGGGCATGGGCCAGGCCGAAAGACCTTGACTAGCGAGCACGAAGCCAGGCATCCAGGATCATTACAATCATTATCATCCTCCCCATCCTCATCACCACCACCACCACCATCATCATCATCATCACCATCACTCATCATCATCATCATCATGACCACCATCATCATCATCATGACCATCATCATCATTATTACCATCATCATCATCATCATCATCAACGTCATCAACATCATCAGCATCACCAACATCATCATCATCATCATCATCGTCATCGTCATCGTCAGCGTCAGCGTCATCATCAATGATGATCATCATCTTCACCAACATCATCATCATCCTCAATACCACCACCACCACCACCATTATCAGCATCATCATCATCATCAGCAGCAGCATCATGATCATCATCAGCATCATCATGATCATCATTGACACCATCATCATCAGACCAACATCATCATCATCATCATCGCCATCATCAATGATGATCATCATCTTCACCATCGTCATCATCGCCATCGTCATCGTCATCATCATCATCATCATCATCCTCACTATCATCACCATCATCACCACCACCACCATTATCAGCATCATCATCATCATCATCAGCATCATCATCATCATCATCCTCATCATCACCAGCACCAGCATCATCATGCATGATCATCATCATCAGCATCATCATCACCGTCATTGAGTGACAACATGCTGTGTCAGCATTGAAGCCTTTCAGCACAGTTTCAAGCTCACGACATAGACGCTTTCTGACGGGACTCTTGCCAGGCACCGTCTACCAGAGCCTCGAAGACGGCCGAGACTGGGAGAAGACATCGGTGAGCTCCATGTCCAAGGTGGCAAGACTCATCATGAGTTCTGCAGATCCCTCCACTGTGTCCGGGCTGCAGCGCACCCACCGCGGGCATGAATATTGACGCACGTGCTTTCACTGAGAAGGAGAGAGCAAGAGTACGTAGGTGTGGGACTGAATCATGACATGCCACTTGCACAGTTCTTGCCTATACACGTGCGTGCGCGCATGCACACACGCGCGTGCACGCACGCGCGCGCACACACACGCGCGCGCACACGCGCACACACGCGCGCACACGCACACACACACACACACACACACACGCACACACACACACACACCCACACCTACACGCACACGCACACGCACACGCACACGCACTCATAGAGACACACACACACACACACACGCGCGCACACACGCACGCACGCACGCA